TTAACCAGATTGTTGTTGTTAGCAATACAAACCAGGAAAGTGAATTCTGGCATTCCTTCAGTACATAGCTGCTGTGTAATCCTAGAGAGTACGAGGGCTTACATAGTGCTGGGAACAGGCAGAAATAAAGGGGCAGATAAAGAATGTGCGGTCAGTAGCTCTCATCCTATTCACCGACCTTGAACTGCAAACAAGAAACTGGATGGGCGAAAACAAGCCGACCATCAGTGCTGTATTACGAGGATAAGGAAATAACGCTGAAAAGTTCGCTTCAATATTCAGAGCTGGGAAATTAATGAGAGAGAAAACCTTACTTAAATAGCAACAAGGATTTGTAAAACAAAAGGTATGATCAAAGTGGGGTTTACCTCCGGATGCGCTTCGATGATCACATGCGAGGATGGTTTGTAATTTTGGATTTCCTCATCTACGATACCCATTCCAAATCCGACATTTAGAACCCGAATACTGAGGGGTGTCACAGGGTGTGCGTCCGCGTGACAAATCCACGCAGCATGACGAGCCATGAGTGGACGCTCCCAATCCATCATTACAGCCAGATGTGTGTCCTTGTCCACTAGACGATGACCATCTTCAGAGTATTCCAACCGACTTGCTAAATAGGAAGCGTTCAGAGTTTCGTGAGGTGGCCCGTTGGGTCCGGATGAGTGGAATACACCAGACTCCATTGGTACACCCTGGGCGACATTTGGATCGGCCGTATTGGAACTATCTGCCGAAGCTGTTGTAATCGACAAGAGCAGTTCCGACATAACCGCATGATCCAGTAACACGTCAACACATTCCTGGTGACCATGCTTTGCAGCATAGTCTCCAGCGCACATGTACGCACGGTCTACTGCATTCCATGGTGCACCTTCGGCTAGAAGATAGCGGACTATCTCCGTATGACCAGCACTAGCAGCCACCATCAGAACGCTAATTCCGGTTTTTGGGTCCTGTAGAACGGCAGATGGTGAGAACGAAAAAAAATTGGGTGTTGTCACGAACAGCCGGAAATTATGTCGACAGTAAATCGGTTCTTATGAAGCAGTGATATCAAGAAGACCAAGTATAAAGTGCAATGTAAAAATCCAGTGGAACACTGGCGTGAAACTAGTTAAGCTACGCATGACATGGATAAAAGAGAAAGCTGAGATAGTTTTGATCGTGAGACCAAGGAGAATCGATTAGTTAGTGCGAGAAAAAGCGAACTTTTCGGCATGTAGCCCTGCGAAGTGAAAACTAGCTGGGCGAGATCCAACTAGTATACTTTGATTCCATGCACCGGATAATATTTTCAGGCCATGAAAGCTCGTCTCCTCCCAACGAAGCACGGTTCATAAATGCTTTGAGGACTAAACAGATTTTCACTAACCCGTTATCTGATATATGGCATAAATGGAAACAAAAGACTGATTTACACCATTGTGGTGACCAAACTGCATGGTCCCGACAACGGATCTAGGGTTTGGTAAAATGCTTCCAATATTAATCTGAACAGTGACAGAAGACTGTTTATAGAACCAATCAGGATGTTTTCCGAGCCATTCATACGGTCCTCGTCGTTGGAACCGAGGGCCATTCACCCTCTGAGGTCTAAATGCTGCTACGGTTCAATCGCCTCTTTGCTAGCCTCTCACCCGATTGCAAACCTATCGCCACGAAATCACGGCGTTATAACCCTGACGATGGACAGTTCATCCGCACTGAAGTTAAGCGAATATTGGATGAAGGTATACTTGAACCTTCGAATTCTCCTAGGAGGGCTCAAGTACTGGTCGCAAATAACGCACGGTAGTGGACGGCAGTCAAACCACTAATCGACTCACATACCTAGAAATCTCTCGGCTGTAAAACCCTTTCGGTGTCTAGGAGCCAAGGAGCATGAAAACACCGGACAATTAACTTGGTCGCATTAACAACTTCCCTCTTCTTGTATGGGGATTCCGGAGCTAGACTCAACAAAGTCGATGACCTTGGCAGATATGGCTCAATCAAGCAGTTCGTGGTGCGCTTGAATTAAAGGCTATCACCTTCAAAGCAAAGTTGCCAAGTTTCTCGACCTAACCCGTACTTAGTTATATCCCCCCTACTATCCCATTTTCCGGTGAACGAAACTGTAACAGCCGCAATCAACGCGCATCTGGTACATTCTTTGTAGCTGAGTTTGAATTGATTTAACGTTTCAGTGCTGATTCAATCCGAAATACGACTTACGATAAATGCGAGGTATCTATGGTCATAAGATGAACTTAGCGAACTTCTTAAGGATCACTTACACATCACCACTTTGTTGCTAATCAAAGCGATGCTTCAATAATATGTAATGGTGGTTAACTGTCATACAACCATGAGGGAAGACAGCCTTGGCAAACAATGAGAAGAAAAGAGAAAGGTCGGCACCTAGTATGAAGGCCTGTCCTTATGGAAGCTGATCGAGATGAAGGTGCTTACAACCTTCATAAACATGCATTAAAACAGACCTAAGCATCATTTCGGGGACATCATCAGATGGATTGAGCCAGCGTTATTTGCGAACCCTGTTCGACCAGGGCATAAAGATAGGCGAACACGAGCTAGGGGGTCCAGGTATGAAATGACAACAAGCATGCCATTGAAATCGATTACATGTCATGTCCTGCAAATTTCCCAGCCAAATGTAAGGAACATATGGACCCCAACCAGGGAGATTCGAAGATTTCAAATCATTTAGTTTGATTGTAGCCACCTTTACTTCACGTCGTCATAACCAGCCCCCCCCCCCACGAATCTTTCGCCATCAATCGTTTGGGACAGAAAACGTCTTCTTCGGCAGACGATGGTTGGGCACACACAATACAAGCCACTCACCTTAGTCTTGCCCTTAGGATGCCGCCTCAACAATCCTGATTCATCAACAAGTACTTCTTGTGCCTTTGGGCTCTAGATAGCTCAGTAGTCAAAGCGCGAAATTACTGACCAGAAGGTCCGTGTTTCGAATCTAATCCTGGCATCTCGGCTGCTCCTGTTTAGGCTTAGGCAATCTGACAGTATCTCAGCCCTTGTGCTTTCCTAGGCTGGCATGGGAGCTAGGCACCGGAAGGATGTTACAACTGAACAATTACAATTAAAGACGCAAACTTTGTGCATAACCTCGTAATTGCTACAGTCAGATACTCTGACTACACTATCCTACTGAGTGTTTCACGAGTTTCCCCAGGCAGGAAATTTTGCTGATCTGTGGCCGGTTCAAAGAATTGTCAAACATCTATTGAAAAGTATGGAGACTGACAGCTTGATCGTTTCAATAAATATGCACAGAACTCTGTTTCTAAAATACACTGGTTACGCCTCCATCCATGGTAGAATTTATTCCAAAAAGGCATCAGACATGGCTAGTTCGCTTCGACATGTCCATTTGCCTTAAATCTATAGTTTTTTTCACCGGAGTAGTGACTCCGTAATGTGTATGAAAACTTTCCCCTGTCTCTGAAGTTAACCTCATGTTTCATCGGGTTTCTTTGTGTTCATGTATCAAAAACTAGTGTGCACGCGACACCGCGAAAAAGCAAACGTATTTTCCTTGAGGGATACAAGCAGAGACTCCAACAGTGATGACCAAAACTACGGAGAGAATTATGCAGGCTTGTATTTTGCCCAATTTAGCCAGTGATCGCAAACCGGAACTGCTTCGACGCGCTGGCGCCAGAGTAAGTATACGAAGGGATCTTGAAAAACCGTCCAAATTGTCCAAGCACTTCTACCCTATATTTCATCAATCTCTTGAACAAGACAACCTGCCTACTGTCTGGCATGAACTATCATACAAACCTGGTGATCACCCAACGTCCGGCAGCTACGGGAATAATAGCTCCGCAAGAATATCGTGGAGAGTGACGAAACACATTCTGAAGTGGACACTTATAAATCACCTCATCACCAAAAACTTGCTACCTCCGATGCAACACGAACTTTGTGGAGAACGCTCTTTTGTGGTGAATAAGACTTGTGTTCACGAGCAGTCTAACACAGGCCACGAGTATAGGACCCAAACCGCAATTTATGCTATTAGACTTTTCACAGGCGTTTAGCCAGTCTCACAAAAGCTCGAGGTGCACAAGATCTAAGGGGACATTCTAGACTGGCTTAAAGCCTCCCTTTTGAGCAGGGCGTTCGGAGTGGAAATTGGATAAACCTAATTTTTCCTTACCGGTCTCCACTGGACTTCTTCGAAGCTTCTCCCCAGGACAGCACCTTCTTCTGACTTATAATAAGCACCTTCCCGACACACGTTCAAGTCCGCGTCCGTTTTTTCGGACGGCTATGAGTTCTGGATATAGATCAGTGGTTGGAGCACTAACTTAGGGACCAGGAGGTTCGTGTCTTAAGCTGGGGATCTCTACAGCACCTGTCTAGGCTTGGGAAATCTGACAGCACCTCGGCCCTCACTATTCCTTCGGGATGTATAGTGGTCATGCGCCGGAACAGTGTTATAGCCGAATGGCTGCTTATTTATTCAACGCTAGTGCGATTCGATTGGATACAGATGCAGCGGTCGTTGACTGGCATCCCTAGATGACGACAAGTGTGTCCATACGTTCTTCGTAGAGGATCCGGCACATGTCCTCGTCATTCATGATGACAATGGGTCAGACACACTGTATAAATAAAAAGCAGTAATCATTCGGCTGTAATACCCTTTCGGCGCCTAGCTGTCATGCCACCCGAAGGAAGCACAAGAGTTGGGACATTGCCAGGTTGCCCAAACCTAGACAGGGGAATTCGAGAGGCAGAGATCGGGTTCGAACCACTAGATACTGGAAGGGACCACAAACGCCTTTCTCATTCCATCATAAAAATTCGGTTTAAAAAGCGTTCGTTGTCCTTCGGATGATTCAACACACCTTCCCACAAGAAAAGATTTCCGGAAGCTCTACAGAGCCTAAAATTAAGCTGGATACACCAACCAAGCTACTTACGCAGAATTTAAGACGTAACACCCACTGACAATGGACCATGACCTACTACGAAGACAGTTTACAGCTTCAAATTAGTTGACTGTGAAGAGATCCTTGATCGTTTTTGTCTAGACTATCACAGGATTCACAAGACTGTGCGGGATAATGAGCCGGGCTTTTAAGGTGCAACGCCTTGGCGTCAGGTGTTCCCGGTGCTTATGGTGTTTGTAATGAGGTTGCCACTCCTCCAAGTGTGTCCAGCTGATATTTGGAAGGTTTTTGTTGGGGCAGAAACGACAACCACGGATAGGGAGTTCCACGCGCAACAAACGCACAGGAAGTGTAAACGACGACGACAATCCCAATGCATGCACAGGGAGATATCCAGTTCTCTGCCTGAAGCTGATGGCGGTTGCGAAGTATACGTCACAAACAGGCTGGGCTTTGGCGTGGTGTGACGGTTTATATGCCTCGGCTACCTCCTGAGGTATGCTGGAGGTGTGCGTGTGACACTCGCTGGGTCTTTCATACCATGTTTGCTAGAGGTATGACGAAAAGTCACCCGGCCCTCTAGGTTGAGAGTTGGAACATGTGTGGAGGCTTGTTCCATAAAGATATTAATGCACCTGCATCACAAGTCAAACACCGCTGCTTTGCTCAAAGACTTAGGTGAGGAACTCGGTCGTCAACCGAAAAAAAATTTCGGTGGACAGCGATATCCGGCCAAGGTTATTTGTTCGAAGTCCTCCGTGTAAATATTACCTAAAACTGGAGATATTGGAGATCCCATTGCAAGACCTTGTCCTCGTGAGTAAACAGTTGTCAAAAACAAACTGATCAATATTCAGACACACTCTTGTGCCCTCAACTATTTCATCAACCGAGAGATGCGTCCGTTCCCCGCGTGTCTTGTCTGCCAGTAAAAACCTCTTAGCTACATCCAGAGCATCTACCCTAGGGATTTTCATGTACATTGAGGTTATGTCAAAACTCACGAGGACGTCGTCCATCTCCAAA